AGCGACATACCTACTTCAACAATACCTCCTAAAGGTGTCGCTCCCTCTGGTGGTCATTTTCTGTCAACCACCATAACCACTAAAGTCCAACTTGGCTTATTGATGATGCCAATATGGATGGAGGGTTAATTGCAGGAATAGAAATAACTCAGACACCACTACATCACCAAAATCCCACACTACCAGCACGACAGTTCACATAACCTAGATACCGGGACCATACTCTACACCTCAACAGATTGGAGGATGTGTCACTCATTTGGTCTAAGCTTCTTTTGGGCAGCTTGGCTGGTCTTTGTTTCTTCAAGGCACTTGAGCAGATCTCTGCTTTTTCCACTTGGCTGGTCTGGTCTAGGCCTCTTTCTAGACAGCTAAGCTTCTCTGGGAGACTTTGTTGGACCTTGTCTTGTCTGTGAGTCTTCCCTTAGTTGGTCTGAGAATAACACTCAGTAGTCTTTACCTTTTATATACTCTTCGGGGGAGGGTAATTAATATGGCCTTTTTTTCAGGGATTTTCTGAAGTTATCTTAGGTTGTTTATTTCTGGTCTTAAGACCCTTAGCTGCTTCCCTGCAGGATGGAGTGTTTCACTTCCCCTTAAACACCAGTTGTCTCACTTTCCTGTAAACTTCCTATCTTAAACTATCCTGTAGTTTTGTCTCCTTTTTTGTATCCTATGTTGGATCCAACTGAGAGGAAACTACTACATAGGTAGCCTGTTTAGGCTATTCCTTCTTTCTTCTTAGTTGTCTGCTGCCTGGGGAGGATGGGGTTTGCTCAGTCAATAAAGTCAGAATCAAGGGCAGGGAAAGTTGAATGGAGTACCCTTGAGTTCCATTTGTATAGAAAAGTAGAATAAATGCATGATTGTTTCCTTCTTTCCGAAATGTTTTTGCAGTATGATTTGGTTCTCTCTCTGCCATCACCAGATCTGTTGGGTTGTTTTGGAAACATTATGAACTTCTGTTGATGGGCCTGAAGCAACTGCAGTAATCTCCTGATGTTGACGTTGACTCATCATGATCAATATGAACCTATCTGGGTCATTTCTGGAGTCTTTCTTGGCACAATCTTAGTATTAGTAAACTGTTTCCTTCCTTCTAGGTGTTTGTGAATAAAATGAAGCCCTGTCTGAGATTTGCTTCACGGTGAGGGCACAGGGAAAGGGGGCAGGTATAAACAAAACACAACTGGCCAGGTAGTCAATAATTTTACATGGCAATGATCCCATAAAGGCTTCCTGCATTCTTTTCTTAGATCTGTGCGTGTTTGAAAATTCCCAGAACAAAAAGTAAAGGTTTTTTTTTCTTTTTAAGTTCAGCCCATAAATTTTTTAACTTCTCGGTAAGGCAATAGTCTTCATCATCTGGCTCTGTTGAAAAACGAAGGACCCTAGGTTCCTGAGGCTTCCCTTGACTTGGTAACACAACCATGGATGTCTGAGTGAATCTCCGATGGGCTGCAGAGGCAGAAAGATGGAGTGCAAGAAGGGTCCCCAAGGCACAGAAAACCTCCAATGTTCCCAGGCCCTCCTCATCCATCAGGAAAAAAAAAATGTTTCCCTCAACTAGTTTATTCCACCTCTTATTCACTGGTCCAGACTCTTGACTTAATCCCCAGTGAGCTGGATTCAGTTTCTCCTGGTTAAGGGGACCTTTGCAAACTGAGGTAAAATATGAGTCTTGTCAGGGACACCAAAGTGACCTAGTGTCTTGGGTAGTGTTATCATAAAGGTAACAAAAGGTTAGCCTGCCAGACTAAAGACGCTTCAGTGTCTCATCTTTGCAAACCAGAGCCTTCAATTTTCCCTGGGGCCAAGAACCCTGGCCCAAGGCCTGTATCTTTCTAATGATCATCGTTCCCACCTTTGCATAGTAAAGAGAGATCGCTATCCCAGCAGATGATTGGAGAGGAGGTGGCCACTATAGGCGACCCCAAACTTGACAGCACTTTCGGGCTTCGGGAACCCTGTGCAGTAGGGACCTGTTCGATTTCTCCTTTGTGCCCTTGCCTGCCTGCACACCGTGACCCGGTCCCCACTGCAGAGAAATCTGACAGGCGGCAACGGCGGGCGTGGCCCGCGCAGGAGGCGCGCAGGGCGGGAGGGCGCGGAGCTGCGGCTACTCCCGCGCCGCCGAGAGGGAGGGGCCCAACGCCGCCCGCCAGCCCAGCTCACCACCGCTCAGTGTCCTCGCGAGCCCAGCTCCGATCCTGGGCTAAGGCTACGACCAGCACCAGCCCGGGCCTGGGCGCAGGAAGCAGAGGTCGGCGGAGGCGCGGCCCGAGCGACCCGGGGTGCAAGCTCCTCTCACCGGTGCGGGTAAGTGCGGGTCTCCGGCTCTGCAGCCGCCTAGCTGCTAGTCCCCAGGCGGGTCGTACGTATCGCGCTGCTGCGCTGCAGGCTCACAGGTGTCCCCGCAGTGGCTGTGGCGCCCCAGGCCCAGCTCCTAGTTAGCCAACTCTCTCCCTTCGGGGGCGGGTGGAGGGGAGCACGAGTTGTCAGTTTCTGCGTGGCCCACCCGGGCTGATCTCAGATCGAGGGCACCCGCAAGAGCCTGACTTAGGAGGGGATTGCAAAGGCGCCCCCCCCCCGCACCCACCCTCCACAACCACCACTAGCTCTCGGGAAGAAGCAGTGGAGCAAGCACCACCCTCAAAGGCATCCCAGCTCCCGGCTCGCAGGTCGCAGGTGGGGGTCCAGCTACCCTTTCGTTTTATCTTCTTATTGACCCTCCATGGAAAAAGTTTAAGATCATTCAAGGCAAAGTTGGGGCGCAGCTGGGGTCACATCCCAGAAAGCAGAGCAATGGGTTTTCAGAGCTCACCCTGGAGCTAATCTTGCGCCCTGGGCGTCAAACCCTGTCACTAGCCCTGACCCTGCACTGTGACAATCCCTAGAGTCGCTTAATCACGGGTACTAAGCATAGACATCTGCAGCCTGCCTGGCATCCCATGGGCTGGGGTTATCTGAGGAGCAGTGGCAACTCAGGCTGCATTGACTGCTAGCTAGTCTTGCTCTGCTCCAGCTAATCCCAGTGTGTAAGTGGCGTGTGTTTAATTAGCTTATTTTACACCTGAAGTGATCTCGGCAAATGCTCCCAAAATGAAATCATTGGCACCGAAAAAAAAAAAAAAAAAAAAAAAAGAAAGAAAGAAAGAAAATAAAAAGAAAAAAGAAAACAAAAACAGGGAAATTGAAGGCTTGTTTAGTTAGAGAGAGAATCTTGACTGTAGGAGCAGTCATATGGGGTACTTTACCCACCTCTTCTGTGGAATAGCGAATCAAAACTCTGTTTTGCATATCTAGCATAAAGGATAGGTGTTGGAGCTACTGAGGGAGGATTTTATGGACAGAGGTGTTGCTGCAACTTGCATATTGTTTACAAAAAACGCACTTGGTCTTTCCAAATAGCCTCCTGGTCACTGCGCTGAGCTTTGGTTAAGCTATTGAAAATAAAACCAAAGGGTCTGGGTTGGTGCTGTTTTGAAGCTCCAGATGAAAACAGTATTTAGATGTTTTAAGAAAACAGCTTGTTCATGTTGCCAGGACATTCTTTTTGTAAGCTCAAATATTTAAAGACGTTTTCTGTATCTGATATAAGACACTTTCATGAAAAAAAATAACATTTTGGGATTATTATGTGAACAGGAAAGCAGTATTACCTCCTCCCCAAACCACCCTGTCCAAATGATAGGTTCAATCGGAAAATGCACCGAATTACATAATTGTCCTAGAAGAAAACATAATGGATAATAGTCAGTTGTCAAGAACTTAGTTCTGAAAGAAGTGGGACCATTTTAGGACTGAAAGATGTTGCATGGCTTCAAATGGATAAATTGACTTTTACTTATAAATTTTTTATATTTACACACATCTCAGCTGTCTAAACCTAACATCAGATTTATTGAAATATTTATTTGGTTTTATACATATGTGATTATGAGTCCATTCTAGATACCACTACTTCTTCCAAGTGCTACTTATGTTTTAACTCATCCTAAAGCAATTTGTGGGGCTATAGTTCAGAATGATAGAGTTATTGTCTGGAGCATTTGAGACTCTGAATGTAATCCTCAGCGCCTCCCCCAACACAGTCACACACACACACACACACACACACACACACACACACACACACGGCAGTGCAATAGCAATTCTGATTGGCAAAGACTTTAACTGTCTATAACTGTCCTAATTTTCTCTCTCTCCTCTTTCTCTCTGTCTCTGTCTCTGTCTCTGTCTCTGTCTCTCTCTCTCTCTCTCTCTCTCTCTCTCTCTGTGTGTGTGTGTGTGTAGCTAGGGATCAAATTCATGATCCCACGCATGCTAAGTAAGCACTCCACCCAAGCTCTGATCCCCCAGTTTTAAAATAAGGAAACCCAGGCTGGAGAGATGGCTTAGAAGAAGTTAAGAGCACTTTTTTTTCAAGACAGGGTTTCTCTGTGCCTTTGGTTTGGAGGCTGTCCTGGAACTAGCTCTTGTAGACCAGGCTGGTCTTGAACTCACAGAGATCTTCCTGCCTCTGCTTCCCAAATGCTGAGATTAAAGGTGTGAGCCACCACCACCCAGCTCAAGAGCACTTCTTAACTTGCAAAGAACCCAAGTTTGGTTCCCAAAACCCATGTTGGATGGATCATAGCTGCCTGTATCTCCAACTCCAGGAGACTCTAGAGCCTCTTCTGGACTCCTGAACTCCCAAAGACCCATGAATTCACATATGCACATACTCACACACAGACACACATAATTAAGATTAAAAGAAATCTTTAGAATGTAAAGTAAGGAAACTGAGGCACAGAGTAGTTAAGTAACATACTATATATAGGACAAGACCTATATGCAAAATTATTTTACGGAAAGATAAGATTTTGGTGACCTACTTACCTTTGTTGCTGTTTTTATTTTAGCATAGCTGGTGAAATCTTCCTGTGAAGAATAAGGATTCCTGATTTTAAGAAGGGCCTCACACACACCATTAACTAGAAAGCAAGGAACAGTATGACAGAACCATCTAGCCAAGTCTGAAGCGTAAAGACCACCATATCCACCAGAAGACCCAGGATGGATCTGTACCACAGTACTGCAGTCGGGCTCCCGGAGAAACCATGGTCCAGTAAGACACCATCTGGCTGCCGGAGACATTATAATACTAGGAAAAAACTGAAGCTAATCCGACTCATTGGCCTTGTCATGGGCCTGGTAGCTATGAGCACTGTCCCGTTTTCAATCAGTGCCTTTACCGAGACGGACACTCAGAGCAACACAGGAGAAGCCAGTGATGTGAGTGGCCCTAGGGTAGCACAGGGTCACCGTCAAAGAACTCTCTTAGATTTAAACGATGAGATTCAAGATTACACTCCAGAGCCACCTGCTCCTCAGGAAGGCAAAGCTGAGAACAGCACTGGCCATGCCCAGGGAGACTACCCAAAGGACATCTTTTCCCTGGAGGAGCGCAGGAAAGGTGCTGTCATCCTCCACGTCTGTGGGATGGTCTACATGTTTATCGCCTTAGCCATCGTCTGTGATGAGTTCTTTGTTCCTTCCTTGACTGTCATCACTGAAAAACTGGGCATCTCTGACGATGTGGCTGGAGCCACCTTCATGGCTGCCGGCGGGTCAGCCCCAGAACTTTTCACGTCTCTTATAGGGGTCTTCATTGCTCACAGCAATGTTGGCATAGGCACCATCGTAGGTTCAGCAGTGTTCAATATCCTCTTTGTTATTGGCATGTGTGCTCTGTTTTCTAGAGAAATCTTAAACCTGACATGGTGGCCACTCTTTCGGGATGTGTCCTTCTACATTGTTGACTTGATCATGTTGATCATATTTTTCCTGGATAACGTCATCATGTGGTGGGAAAGCTTACTCCTCTTAACAGCTTATTTTGCTTATGTGGTTTTCATGAAGTTCAACGTTCAAGTAGAAAGATGGGTGAAGCAAATGATAAATCGCAATAAAGTTGTCAAGGTGACAGCACCGGAAGCCCAAGCAAAGGTTGGTAGTCTTTACTTAACTGTTTTCTTAGCCATTCTTTTGAATACAGATGCCTTGGCAATTGGCAGCTTGTTTTTGTTTTTGGGGGTTTAATATATATATATATATATATATGTATGTATGTATGTATGTATGTATGTATATATATATATATATATATATCTGGGCTATAATGGTAACAGATTGCATTCTGCAGTTTTGTGAAAGCCAATGAAAATGACAGTAGAAAATAGAAATTTGGGGGACATTGTTCATCAAGCCTTCCAACTTTCTAAGCTACTACAGAGTTAAAAAAAAAAAAAAAGAACAATGTAAATGCAGGTTACATAAGTATCCCAGGACATACTCAGCATTGACTTGTTTTTAGGAAAATGGATCCAGGGATTTAGTTCTTATGGACATATTCTAAGTAAGTGACAGGGTTTTGTTTTTTAGATGAGCATATGGTGGACACGAAGAACCATCTCTTTAAAGATGTTTAGGGAGGAAAGTTTGTTTTATAATATCTGTACACTCCAGCAGCAGCTTGGGCTTAGCAGCAATTTGTCTTCATCACAGTGGCTATAACTCATTGTCCTTTTCTCTTTAAGTCAGTTTTATTTTATAGCACCAAGGACTGAACCTATGGCCTTTCACACTGCTAAGCAGGCACTCTGAGACTGAGTGACACTACAGACCTGTGCCTACTTTTCTTGATCCAAGTGGTTTTATTTAAAACAGATCAGCATCCTCTGTAGAGAAAAATTACTGTGCAGACATGGCACCTGCCTATGTACTGCAATAGCCCATTTTACACATCATAACAAACATGACCCCGTGTTTGTTCACGAGAGAATCTGAGGTAGTTTCGCAAATTAGGAAGCAAGTTTGTCAAAAGCTTAAAAGAAATTGACCTGAAAAAAAAAATAACTTTAAAAGGAAAACAATAGATGAACAACATCAATGAATGTTTATGTAGTTTCATAATTGTGCAGCATTCTGATTTATATACTAACTATAAAAATGTCATCTTTGAGTGTGGTTTTAAACAGAAAATCCAAGTTCATTAACAGAGGCTTTTCACTTTTGCATGTGAGAAGTACTTAATAATAACACATATTAAAAAAAATCATGTTTGAGTAGCAATATGAGATTTGATCATAAAGAGAAGAAAAATGATCCCATTTCAGTTACATTTACACAATTCCTTTATAGACTAGGTTGATGGTCATCATTTTGTAGTAATCACAGAATAAAAGCAGAGTGGAAAAAAATCATCAGCAATACCAACATAGACAGTAGACAGAAAGAAATGTTTTAATCAGTTTTATCATGCACATGTAAAGGATGGGTGATGGTGGGTGCAATGGCCACACTGTATGTGTCAGTCAGAAGACAACTTTGTGGACTTCGTTTCTTCTTTCATCTGTATGTGGGTTCAGGGAATCAAACTCTGTTCAGCAGGGTTTTTTTTTTTTTTTTTAACAAGTGCCTTAACTTGTTGAGATTTCTCTCTGGCCCAAGACATGTTTATACTATATATTTCTTCTAACATTTACTCCAGTATGTGCTTATTGAGGACTGTAGTTTATAAAGTTGTTTAGCAGAGTATATAGCAAGCATGCACTCACTTGTGACAGCTGAGGACATGCCCTTCATGGAATTTGGCAAGGACATTTTATTTTATGCTCTGTGTTCTACCTTAACAAAAAAAAAAAAAAAAAAAAAAAAAAAAAGGCTGTCCCGCAACCTCTCCCCTCAAGTGTGTTTAGTAGTTGGTGGTATATTTCAATCAGAGTACTGGACAGTTCTCAGGAACAGCCATATTTTTAAGAAGCAATGAAGTGTTCTGGCCCCATAGAAATACTCCAGACACTCCAACAGCAAAATGTCTTTTGAGAAACTGTGCCTTGGGATTTTTTTTTTTTAATTCTCCAGTGGGTCTTCTTTACTTAGGCACAAACTTGGTGGGAAATTGTGTTGGCCACTTTTGAAAATGTTGTTGGAACTCAGAGTTTGTATGCTGATTTCAGTCAGGGTAAGAATGCAGCTAGCTTCATGCACGTGGGAAATAACTTTTTAAACGTAGGCCACAGAGTGCAATCAGCCAATTATAATCTGTTCATTAAAGTGGACCTGGTAGAGCTTTTACCTGCTTAATTAGATGATTGTCATGTCACATCTCTGACCATTTATAAGTCAGCAATTCAAGCTGACATTCCTTACTTGGTGTTTTTCATATCCATAATTTTATTCTCAATTCTGTTTTCTTTTTAATTCAGAAATTCTGAGTATAGCTTAATTTTATTATAAAGATGCTGGTTATAATCTTGAATATTTCCACATGTGTTTATTCTTATTGTCCTTTCATCCCACTACTCCTGTATACCATCACCATCATTTCTTTTGGCATTTGATAACAAATTGGAGTAGATGGAGTTTCTCTCTTCACAGTCATAGATTTTCAAGTGGACTGGTTTATGATTTCCTTCAGGAAACTGTACCTTGACAATTTCTCTTTTGAATCACTGTTGGAACTTTGAAATAATTGCAGCCCTATCACCTTCCAGGTTTGAGATTCCATTAGAGCTTGCTCCCTAGCTCTGAGCACAGATGTGTCAGGAAGGCTGGTTTGAGGATAGTCATTTGCCTTCTGGTGTGCTGAGCTCACTTTGGCCCCAATAGCACATTTACCCTACAGGAGTCAGCTCTCTGTTGTCATCTGGACCCTTAGAGAGTCCCAATGTAGATCATGGACATCTCCATAGGAAGAAGTATTCTATATAGGTATCATCTAGAGCGCAAATTAGCATGTTTTTTGTAAACTCACCTTGTTGCTTTGTTTTTGCAATTACGGGGCAGGAGAGTTTGAGAGAAATGGAGAAAACATATTTTTAGGTAACCTCACATAGCTAATCATCTCTTCTGGGCTCAACACAGTGAAATGGCTTCCAAATGACTCACTTCAATGAGGAAGTTGGAAATCATAATTTGGTTCCATGATGGATGATTTGACCTGTGCCAGGAAGCAATGGTCTGTGAACATGAAGACATTGGGAATTTTTTTTCATAAAGTGTTGCTTTCCCATGCGTGCTTTTCAAGTTTTGTGTTTGTTTGTTTGTTTGTTTGTTTGTAAACTTCCTTTGGTGATACCACTACCATCTTTAAGAAGTTGCATAGTGTCATGGCATGATATAGAGGCCCAGACAGGAAAGGTTTTGCTGTTATTTTTAAGTAGTTCTTTGAGAGTCTCATAGAGTATATTTTGATCATATTTGTCCCCCTCAACTTTTCTCAGTTCTGACCCCTCTTTGTTACCTACCCAACTTTGTGTCCTTATTTTTAATCCTTAAGAACCAATTTGTGCTGCCCAATATTCTTGGATGTGTGTGGTCTTCCACTGAAAGGGATATAGTATATCCCCTGATATGCTTGAGCATTGAATGCTTGAACATTCTTTGGTTGCTTACTCTCTGCATCATGGCCAGCTGTGGGTCTCTGTGTTAAACAACATTTACTGTAAGTTGGAGCTTCTCATGTGAGGATTGAGAGATGCATTGATCTATAAGTATAATACTGAGTCATTAAGGGTTGCTTGAATACTCTGTCCATTTAACAAAATAACAGTAGTAAGTACTCTGGGGCTTTTCACTTATCTAGCCACAGGCTTTTGACTGGACATTGGTGCTAGGCATAGGTTTCATCTTGGGGAGGGAGAATAAAATTCAATTTAAAATGGGGGTTGGTTACTCCCATGATATTGGTGCCATTATTATACCAGTGCATATGTCTTGCCAGGCCAGTCATTACTGTAGATTATAGGATTCATAGCTGAGAATAATTACTGGTTAGTTTTCTTCTCTGGTACCAGGGTTGGTGCTTTTCAGTGCTATGAAAACTAGCTAGTAAAGGTAAAGCTTTCAGGTCAGTAGCAGTTTGATTTCTCTATGTTCTATGCCTCAAATATATGGCATCTTCAGAAATAGGATATTATGGTCAAGCTGTGGTGGGTAACCTAGAGCATGAGAAATAGCATGTAGTGTTTGGGGGGTCTATGAGACCTTTCTGGCCAATGACTCCAAAAGAAATAATCCATTCCTGGTACTGGGCTTTCTATTTGATAGCCTGTGATGGCTAATAGAGGTATTGTTGCTCTGCTATGGGGTAACTCTATTTTACCTCTCAATGTTTGTACATTTATAATAGGAAGCTTCTACTGCAATAGGTTTCTGTGTGTATTTCTTAAAGGTTTTTAGTGTTACTTCTCCATCTCTGTACTTCCCTCCTCTACCTTGTTCACTGTTCCCCATACCCCAGTTTAGCCCTTCCTGTACCATTATTCCCTTCTAACCCTTTATACCGTTGCATTCTATCTCCCCTCCCATGAAACCTGTCCCACAAGTACCCTGAGTAATTTTCTGACTTCCCTGGGTATTAGGAAAGTATTTTAGACCCTTCTGTATAACAAGAATCTAGTAAAGTCCTTGGCAAATGTGGCAAATGATGTGCCAACTGTGGCAAATTTGGCTTGGTCAGTATACGTTGGTTCCATTATTTTACTGTTCCCTTCTTAAATGAAACGTGAATCAGAATGAGTGATTCCAGGTTGGATTTATAAAAGCATTCCTTGAAGGTCTCATTTACTTTAGTGGCTCACTGGGTTAAGCAGGTTGCCATGTCTTTGGGGAGAATGTATTTACCATGTTATAATATTTGTGTCATGTGTTATCATAAACTCCAATGAAACTACCTTTTTGTCCTGAAATTTTATTGCCCAGAATTTTTCTTGAAATCAGGAGACCATTTAGAAGGGGCTCAGAAATATCTGTACTAAGTGTAACTTCTACTTAAGGCATTTGGGGTTATAATGATGGGTTCCCTAGGCCCTTCCTGTCTGGTTAGTCAGAAATTTGAATGGTGTAGAGCTATCTCCTTTCAGGACATGCAGACATTTTGGAGAGCATCTGGCTTGGCTGCTGAGATCTGGTTTTGATGTGTCACTGTACTAGGCTGTCACTGG